TGGCATGGTTTCAAGAGTTTTGTATATACATTTTTTAAAAATTTTGTATATAGTTTTCTAATCACATCCTTCGGGTTTGGTGCCATTTTCTCATAATTTATCATATGTCTATTTTAGGCCAAAGGCCACAGTTTTTTTATCTCCTGTATGCTTTATTCAACGTTTCGGCTTCAGGAGCCATTTTCAAGAACCTGCAAAACTAATTTTAATTTATTTTTTACCATTCAAGTACAGCCTCAGACACATATTATTTAACATCCACAAGTAATACATTTAGTTTAAATTTTGAATAAACTTATATCATCCACCTACCATGCACCGCGCCATAAAATTTTTAAAATTTATCATTGCGATATGATTCGTCCTAATTCATTCTTTTATTTCAAAGAATGTCGTTTTCCGTTTCTAAAGCTGAAACGTTAAATAAAGCATACAGGAGATAAAAAAAACTGTGTTTTTTTTGGTGACTTTTGGCCTAAAATAGACATATGATAAATTATTTGTATATAGTGTGTTTAATTAATATTTTCTTTACCTATTTCTCTTTATTTTTTGTTTTTATTTAGGCCAGACATAATATTTTAATTTTTTACTTTTTGTTATTCTAAAGGAACTCCGTCCCAGAATAAAATTATTTTCTTTTCTATTCTATTCTATTGTAAATTGCCGTGCAACGATCAATTTAGTGTGAATAGAATTTTAAGCAACCTATCGGAGTCCCTGCATTGATTTTTGTAAATATCTAAAAATGTATTATGCTAAGCATGGTCGTTAAGGAAGCTTCAAGGATGAATAATGCGTAAAAGGAGAAATCGTTAAGAAAATTGAGAAAGAAAAGTCACGGAGCAATGAATGAAGATAATGAGGAATATAAAAAAGATCTAGAACAAAAGGAGAATGGTCAAGAGAGTTGAATCGGAAAATGAGGCCTCATCAAAATTTCTAAGGAATCGAAAATATTTTGGAATCATCTCAGATATAATTATGACATTCAAAACATTTACTACTTCAAGCGTCATAACGAACAAATCATATTACATAAGAAGCAAACTTATGTTATTATATTTTAACGTTTTAAAGGCCCCCAATAAAAAAAGAAAAACATTCAGAAAACTTTGTTCTGTCAATGTTGCTTCTTAAACGAAGTAACTTTTCTTAAAGGAAAATAATAAGTAAATAGCAGGTAATTTGTAGTCGTTATAAGACAATGTTTTTTTTCCGGGAAAACATCTAGCGATATGAAAACATAGGTCTTAACATGAACTTCTTCATATCAGTGATTTGATTTTTAATTAATCTGAAATGAAATTTAAGGTGTTTTTTTTAAATTATATATCATCGGTTAATTCGAAGTAAATTAATGATGGGGCTGAACTTTTATGAATGTTTGCAAATGAATGCTTATGAAATTAAGCAGCTAAAATTTTTGGAACCGATATGAAATATGGTAGCACTTCTTTTCATTAGTCTGTTTCTTTTCGGTTAAGTATGTTATATACATAATTCCAAAGATTTCAAGCACAGTTAACACAAAATCAATCTAAATTACTCAAACATTTTGAATCGATTACGCCTGCATTACTTCTTCATAATTATAAAGCATAAAAAAATTATATCTTTTTTTCCTGTTGGCATAACAGACCTAGTAATCTTTCTTAATTCTATTCATAAAATATTAAAAATGATACATTTCTCAGGGTCAGTAAGTGATAAATTTTACTATTAGGGCTTCGAAACTTGGAGGGAGTGATAAAGTTTTGAGACAAGTTAGTAAATAGTTTTTACTGTCTGGCATCGTCATGAATTATATAAAATTCTCTATTTCAGTTTATCAGATAGACTTATTTATTCTGTTTAATTAGTTGTGTTAGTTTTACTATGGTTATTATTAAATTGTCATTATTAATTTTTGTATAGAAAAGTTTTTATTTAAGTATTTTTTTGTAATACTTAACATACTTATAATTATAATTATAAGTTTACTTGTAATTATAAGAATACTTAACATTATAATTTGGAGATAATGCATTCATTTTCGGCGGAAACATTTTTTATTTATAATTATATTTATATTTACGGACTCTCTATTTTCTTTTTAGGTAGAATTTGTACAGTGACTCCGGTTGGCGGTGTTTCAGAACCACTTTGTATTTTTTAAAATCTATTTAAATTAAATTTAAAAAAAGTGAGGTAATTGTTAATAAAATTAAATTTAATAAAAAAAATTTAAGTAAATGAAAAAAATATTCATATTAAAAGCAGTAAATGTTACTAATAACTTATATAGAAACTTTATACAATAATTAATTTGTATTATCATCGAAATTTTAAATACAATTATAAAAAATGTGTTTCAAGTAAATTTTAAAAATATAGTATTTACTAATAATTGTTTGTGTGCACTTGAGAAAGCTACATTGTACTGATAAATCTTCAATCAGATTTGTTTTCTGTCTTGCTATATTTCCAACGAGGACAAGGTTATTGTATCCTCGATTTTTTTTTATTTTGTCTTATCTAGATAACAACGAAACACTAATTAAACTTGTTGGTTTTATCAAAAGCCCAATAGAGTCTCTGGAACTATTCCATGCTTTAGGTTTCCTCATAGCTTCCCTTTTATTTTACTTGAGCTATAGCAGACATTATATCAAAATGCCCTCCAGAAATAAACCAATAAAAAAAAATATTTTTAACGATGATGATATTTGCAATATTTCTCTACGTAAATTCTATTCGACAATTATATAGTAAATATTTAACTTGTATAATGTTATGTAATGGTGTTGATTTATAGAATCGAAAAACTTCAAAAAGAGTATATATTGATTACTATTAAATACTTTATATCAGTTGGATTTACATAAAAAGAATTTATTTATTGATAATAGAACAGTATTAGCTATCAATACAACATACAAATGTGAAGTTGCTATATGACATGTATATTCTTGAAGAGAAACTATGGTTAGCACTTCATAAGAATAATTAATCCAAATATTTTGAAACTATTAATACTGGCCTGGTGAGAGGAGAAGTGCTGGAGATCAATCTAATGATGGCTCAGAAACTTGACCATTCCATATTCAGGAGTAAGGAGGAGGACTAGGACATGACATCCAGAAGTATCTCATATGATCCACATTAAGGACTCCCATGATATAGCTAACACGACTGGAAGAACAGTCATGGAAGTTCCGTTTTTTTATTTTTTTATTTGGGCGGGATGGCCGAATAGGCTAACGCTTGTGCACAGCACCGCGAGTTGACTGGCAACCAGATAACCGAAGTTATGAGAGATTAAAAAATACGCGCTAGTTCGCGTCCCGGTGCCAGAGGGGAAATTTTAAATTCCCCGCCTTTACTCCCCGACCGGGAAAACCCCGTATTGCCTAAAAAGCGAGGTGGAAAAGAACAAAAAAAAAAAAGTAATGGAAGTTCTTTTTAAGTTACGGTTAAGTTTAAGATAAGTTACGGACGGTTATCTGCGTTGACAGAAATCAAGAAAGTAGTTACCATCTCTGTATAGATAAGATTATTAAACACTGAATCAAATCTACTGAAGGTCTGATAGGTCTTATATATGTATTTTAAAACATGACTCCTCAGAAGCGGACTGACAATTTACACTTAAAGTAAATGTATTTTCAGAATTTCCGTCATAGAAAGAGGATTTTCACTAGAAACATACAAAGTATTAGTGACACTCCTTCTAAAGTTGATAAAACAAATAGCACTGTTTTATTTTATCTTCTGTTGAGTGTTATTTGGTTTTCCTCAATTATTCATCACTATTTCATTAATATCATAACATGCACTAGCGGATCCAGGATTTAATTTTGGAGGGCTTCAGCCCGAAAGCTTTTTTGTTCATATATATATATATATATATATATATATATATATATATATATATATATATATATATATATATATAACGATAATTACTTTGAAAAAAAAAAAGAAGAAAGATACTAACTACTACATGAAATGGAGTTTAAGTGATTCTTGAAGTCCTATTAAATGTAATTACCCGAGCAATAATACTTTGATAGATAATTTTTTAATACTTTTTTATATAAAGCATGGTTACATTTTACCATTTGGGAGGGGAGAGGGAGGCTTCAGCCCGAAAGCCTCCTCCCCCTCCCCGTAGATCCGTCTGTGATCACATGTATTAAAAACTCAGCCTGAAATGAATTCCAATAGATTCAATACAACCCAAATCCAATAGCCTGATAATTAGAGTGTAAAAATAATAAATTAGTCTCCTCGCTCACAAAATCGTCGATTTAACACACAACACATGTTTTAACGATCTGATTCTCTACTAATTTAAAATAAAAAAGAATGGATGAATGGTAGGAACTGTGCATTTATCATGCTATGTGTAGCCTCATTTCCCAACAAGAGAGCCATGTCATAACACGCTATTTGTTCTGTTAATTGCAGTTCAATCAATATGACCCCATCCAGAAGCACATATTAAGCTTGTGCGTTGTGTGGACAGCGACCATCTCTGTTGAACATCTTGATTAATTATTTGTGCATTAATTGCTGGAAATTAAACTGAGATTCGTTCAAATATGATCCTAATTCAATTCATTTTGTGTTACTGTTGGATTACAAACATTATTTGGTGAAGTTTAAATAAGCAGTTATCCTTATAGTTTTGCTGAGATTCAAGCGAAATTCGAAAAACTCTGATCCTAAGGAAATTCTGGTGATATTTAATGAAGATTATTTTTATTAAACTTATATTTTATGGCAGGAATTAGAATTTTGAAGCTCTTGACCGTTAATTAAAAATAAATATTAGGAAAAATTTAAAATGAATGGAATCATATTTCGAGATATCATAGCACAAATTAAAATAATAATTTATTTTATTACTTTGTAATCTATAAAGAAGAAAATAGATAATTTCGCTGCTACATTACAAATTATTAATAAAACTATCAAGTTCATTATTTACAATCAATGATGGTAATACCACTCACCAGTCCCCTTGCTCGTGAAAGAGAAGGATCTGACCCTGAGACTTCCTTCTTCGGGTTCGTCTGGTACTCCTAGGAAGGCCGTGGACTTGCGATGTACCGTCGTGTTCCTCCTTCCTCTTCTCCAGCCGCTGCATTCTTCTGCTCCTGTAACTGAAGGAACGACATTTTAGTTTGAATAGTAGGAAGGGTATTATAAATCATTCGGGTGATGTAATTTTCTTAAAGAGCCCCTTACACGGTCAATATTGTTGAATTGAAGGGCTCACTCAGACCTGTCAATTTTATTGAGTCAATAATATAACAGTTGCGATCTTACTTTCTCCAAGGAAGTAGTTACCTTCTTTCATTTTTCTGACACATGAATAGTGAATTTGAAATTACTGTAATTTACTTGACTATTTTATTAAAATAGGATTATATAATAAAATATATTTATATTTTATTTTTACAATTAATATTAACTATTTTTGATTATAATTAATAATAATTTCCATAAAACTACCAATTAATTATTAATCAATTGTTTGGCTTCAATCACATTTTTATTGGCCTTTTTGTTGATGTTGTACATATTTAAAAGTTTACGAAATTTTCTAAAAAATCGTTGAAATCGAACAATTTGGTGCAAAGATTTAAAAAAAAAAATATTTTTCATATGTTCTACAGCATAGCTTATTTCCTTTGTTTTGGTTTTTAATACCCTTAAAGTGTTATTTCAACTGAATGAAAATGTTTTTTATTTTTCTCAGAAAATTACTAATACGCAAATAAAAAAATTATTTAGGGCAATGTTAGGAATAATCTTTTGTTTATTTTTTTTTGTGTTACGAGGAAAATAATATTACTTTTGATAAATAATTGTTTGAAAAACAATAAACGATTGTGTAATGATTTATAGCGGGTTTTATGATTAATTCTAAATTGTATTCACTCTATAATATGTGATATTATTAAATATTGTATAAAAAACAATTTTTGAAGTGTAATGTTAAAATAGTTAAATAAAGGACTCTAATGTTAAATATGGTTTAAATTTTATTTCTTGTAGTTTTTATAATTCGGTATCCACACTTAATTGCATGGAAATCCAAATGGTATCTGGCAATAGCAATAATGGGAAAAACTATTTGTTTATCATCTATTAAATCTGAGTGAACCGAAGGAAGTTTATGATCACTTTTACTACTAGCGTGCTTTTAAGACTAACTTAATAGCCCCACCAGCATCCTAGATTTACGGTTTGCTTTAGATAATATGACGCAGAGATAGCTTAAGGGGCTCTTACATGGTCAATATTATTGTGTCACTATAGAATATATTGACCTTATGAGAGAAATATTGTAACGGTTATATTGACATTTTTAATATGTGTACCAAGTACAATGATATTGCTCCAATACGTGTAAGGTGGGCTTTAGTTTCACTTTACACAACCTACTAAACTTTTCGAATAAAATTGATTTAAATTGAAGAAGTGCATGAGAAAATTTTGGAGCTTAATAGTAGTTTTAATACTTTTTATTTTTACTTTTACATACGTATATTGTAATATATTGTAAGGGTAAGTATCGCAATCGTGAAAATTTTCGAATCTCAGTTTTCAACGGAAATACATCTTTCCGTCCCCTGAGTCCAAATAACCAAGTGTCACAAAATGGTCTGTGTGTGTATGAATGTTAACAGTCTAGCTCATAAACGAAAAGTAGTACGAAACTGATATTAAGCATTTAAGGTTTGTATATGAGCCGGATGAGACAGTAACTTTTTCGTTAAAATCGACTAAGCGGAAGTGCCACTTGATATGAACGCTGAAACACATTTTTACGATTTTCTTAAAAACGGCTGTAACGATTGTGATTAAACTCGGTTTACCATTGTATAATTAAGTGGTCTTTAATATCATTTAGGTCTTATCCCCGGTGATGTCACTTTACACGGCTTAAATGCCCAATGTTCACATATGTCTTCCCCTAAAGTACCTTTAATATGGTTTATTTTAAAAAGTTAATCATTTCGCATTATTCAGAGTTACGAAAAAATGCTACATATAACTTTTGAAAGAATTTGATAAGTTAGTAAAGGAGAAAAAAAATGCAGAAAAACCTGCGTTGCTATAGACTGTAGCGCCTAAACGAATGTACCGATTTCAATAAAACTTCGCTTGTCATTTTCTCGACACCCTTTAAACTTATCTTTATAACATATTTCAACGAAAAGAAGCTGGAAAAAAGTTACGAGTAAAATTAATTAATCAATTAAAATTTAAAAAAAGTATACAATTTTTTGTGGATATTTTATATAGTTTTTTAAAAGTTTATGGAATTTCCTAAAAAAAAAAAAAAAAATCTTTAAAATCGGACAAGTAGGAGGAAAGATATGGTCTCTAGTTTTTTCCCCTGAAGAGGTCAAAATTTGTATAAATTTAAAATATAATTTTTTAATTGTTGGGAATAAAAAAACTTTTTTTCTACAGATATTTAATAAAGTATTTTACCTCAGAACATCTTTCATACGAAATAAGTACCTAAATTTATACCTTTATTCTTAGTTCTATATTTAAACACTCCAATCACCACCTCCGGAATCAACTTACTCACTGTCTGCATAGATAACTTTTTTAACTAAAAATATCACTAAATTGACATTACTAGAAAATGTTGAAATTGGAGTTAGTCATTCTATGGTTTATAAAAGCAAAGAAATTTGTGTGGTTTATAAAAGCAGATGGAGTGACTAGATTTTTATTGCCTACCGTCGATATATTAAATAGACATTTTGTAATTATAATGGTCTTGATGATTGTTATCTGTAAGCTTTAAGCTTTAGCTCCGTTTAAAATGGACTTCAAAAAATTTTATATAGAGTGTGAGTGTGCTCTCTGAACACTATTATAAATGTCCTTGATGTGACAGAATGTAATATTTCTAAATAAACAAATAATAATAAAAACATTTTTATAATAGTCCAGCATTGCCAGAAAATAATTTCTATTCAAAGTAGAGCGGTAAGTGAAAGTTGTGTGTTGCGCGCACCAGATTTTTTAGTATGGCTTAATCATTTAATCACTCAGCTGTGGCAACGATCCATTTAATTCATCTCCTCGTTTTTATAAAAAATATTTCCCATTTTATTAATGATGCTAGAGTGGTGATAAATGTGTGTCGTAAATCCTTATTGAAACGGATGGTGTCGATACTACTTATGCTTAGCCTTTTCATTTATTGGCCTAAAACCTGAATTAATGGATTATGAGTTGTAGATAAAGCAGAGCGTTTATTTTCAAAAGGATGTTTAAAATATCTAACAAAATTACAGGCTTTTAGTAACATCACAACTACAGAAAAACATTTAAAATTCTGGCATCCTCTGTAGTTGACTAACGCGTTAAAATATTTCATTAAAGTTTAACCACAGTAGACTTATGAACCCATTACACGTTCAATATTATTGAATCCATATCGAATTTCGTCAATAAATTTTATATGTTTATATTTCGCCAAAAAATTTTGTAAATTAACCTTGCTTCCTCTTCTATTCCTGATAAGCCTCCAAGGCGTCGAAAAGAAGATGGCCTCGGGGCATTCTAATATAAAAATATAACTGGAGTGCTAACGGTGGGTAGTTTCTCTTCATGTTGCACATGTCATGTTACTTATTTCGGTACTTTTCGTCTAGGGAGCCGCTACTGACTGCTATCTGCCAATGTTTATAACCTGAACACTGATAACTCACATAACGCAGTGATAAGCCTTCTTTTACTTCATATCTTCGTGTTATTGTATTAAATTCGTATTATTGAAAGTGTAAACAGATACAAAAACAAATGTAATAACAAAAAAAAATACTTTTATTTGACGACACATATATTAATGAAATAATAAAAAAAAAAAAACACTTTAAGAAGATATGTACATATAAAACATCAAAAAGAAATAATTAAAAGACACATTTAAAAGAACATATTTATATAGAAAAGAAAAAATATAAAACAAAATCTATTTTATAAAAAGATAAAACATTCATCTGTTTCTCGGCAAACTCCACCAAACATCCACTGCTGAGGTAAAACTCTCCCCACATGAGTTTTTCGTTTAGAAAAAAGACTTTCTTTTACTTCAACCACTTTGCCAGGTCCTCCAATTTTTTTCTTGGCCTGTATAACATGTCATGGGCACAAACCTCTCTTAGACATTTGTTCCACGTTACCATTGCTCCGTAGGATAGTTTCAGCTGCTCTTTGCCCCACTTCATCATTGTCAAGCTATGGGACCATCCATAAATCGATTTTAAAGCTGTTAAAAACGAAATCCTCGAGCCCTCTAACCATGTTCCTTTCCTTATTGAAAGTTTTGTGTCATAAGTCCTACGAAAGCATCTCCATTTGGCCTTCCTGGTTGACTTCATTCGATGACCTCGATCACACAATTTCACGTCGGCAAGTATTCCAACATTTTAAAAATATTGAAGTGCCTGTTCTTCTGAAGGCGGCAAATTCCATATTCTAATAAGATCCGTAATATGACGAAAAGAAACACAAAGGGGCCACAAACTAAAAAAAATGTAAAATAAACACAAACGGGCCAAAAACTAAAAATAATAAAAAAAAAACACAAACGGGCCAAAAGTAAAGAATTTAATAAGTGAACGTAATAAGGGAATAACTGAAAACTAAACAATGCAATAACTCAAAGGTTTGGCGTTATATGAAGAGGGAGGTTATGTGACGTGACGTTAGATAAGATAGATAAGAAGTGAGATTTCAGTCCGGCCTGCTAGACAAAAAGTACCCTTATTTCATATTAACTTGTTGTATTTATCATTTGATACAGTTGTAAATTTCAATAATAATAAAAAGATAATTTTTTAAATCAAATTAACAAAATTAAACGTACTGTTAAGAGGAAATTTTGAAAATCTGTCATTGAAGTTCTATGGGACTATTTCAATGATGAAAGGAACTAATTGCTATTAAAAACCATTTCGGCTTAGATTAATGAAAAGTGTTAAGAGACGTTTAAGAGGAAATTTTAAAAAAAGTTGAAAGTGGACAATGGTGGTAAAGTTGTCAATTTCGATTGGTCAATTTCAGCAAAAGAGTTGCTGTAACATTACAGGCATATACGCTCCTTAAATAGAAAATTCAAATTCGT